ACTTCTTAGACCAATGTGTTATTTGAGATGGAGATATTGTCGCTGTTACCGATTTGATAAGGGCACCTTGATTTTGCAGAGAAATAATGTGATTGCAACAGGCATCTATTTGGTTTTTTCGAAACTTTTCAGTGATTGAGATGCTGAGAACGATTCTGAAAGCAAGATGTCCGCCTTTTTGTAATCTATTGCCGTCTCTCTCCAAAGACATCGAATTTCTGAATTTGCACTTGTTTTAAAATAGTTTCGTAGTTTGATTCTCATTTTCAGCGCAGAATCCTTGAACGAAACAATGTTTTGGCTTCCAACTTTTAATGGCAGACTCAACATCTCTAATACACAGCCGCTAATTGGCATTGTTAGCCAATTTCTAACTGCTTCAACCACTAGGTTGTCTAAAGTGTTTGCAATTCATGTAAGGGAGAAGCTCTAGCTCCGTAACTTAAATTTTAATTGAGAAGGTATGAATTTTCTTAGAATTTGCAGCTTCATTTGTGCCGGAACCTCGAGATTAATCGTGATCTTCAGCAGCCGTGCTAATTTGGCAACCAACTCTTCCTTGGCCTTTGTATCCTTTAATTCCGCATCTTATATTTTACCCAGGTATTTGAAACCCGAGTCCAGGTCAACCGTTGGAATGGGCACATTGTCGACTGACAGTCTTAGCAGAAACTGATCGTATGAGCCCTCTTTCTTCCTCATTCCAAACACGCAGCACTTGTCTACCCTCATCTGCATTCCAGACCATTTGATAATAATAATAATAATAATAATAATAATTCTTTTTAGAACGATCTTTTATTCAGCAATAAAAAAAATGAAAATTACAGTACAAGTAAAATAAAATAATGAAATAAAATAAAGTGTTATTATTTTATTACAGAGTTAATTAGTTTTAAAATTGATTCATTTCACATTTCTGTCGCAATAGATAGCGTACGACGGTGATATGGCAGAGTTTATAAGGTTATTGCAAAAATAATCAGTCCAAATAATATTTATTAGCGAAAGATTAAATGTTTTAAAGAGACCTGAAGTAGATATTTCTAATGTATTTATTGTTATTTTTAAATGTTTTAAGTCGTCGTTTAAGTTAATTTTCAAGCTATTAGAGTATTTTGATTGTTTGTAGTTTTTAGAGTTGGAGAAGTTAGTCTCATGGCAGACTGTCAACTCCTGGATTTCTAATGTTTCACCGCGTAACAATGCGATATCTGGTCGCAATGTTTTGAATAAGCGTGATGGTGGTTGAAAATCGCCTGTCTCAAGATCAGCAAAAATGGAGACGTCTGGATTGGCACATGATTTTAACTTGTCGAGGATTATTGCTAAAATGTTGTTGTGTCTTGTTGTGTATCTACCCAATGCCGATGCTGATTATAATAATAATAATGTCATTTAAGAGCGCCCTATGCATAGCGTCAGATGTCATAAACCCGGATAAACAAATGTCAGCACGGCCACCAAAGGCCTGTTCAAACAGATGCTGCCTCAATCGCTTTTTAAACGTTTCTATTGATGATTGTTGACGGATGATGAGTGGCAAACTGTTCCATATTTATTGACGAGAGCTGATGTATTGACTGGTTGATGCAGTTGCAATGACGACGGCAGACGAAGGTGATGGCGATGATTAACAGACGAGCGAAGGCGAATGAGTTTGTGAAGATAGGTAATAATGATGATGAAGATTGGTAAGACTGCCAATAATTAATCTGATGTTTTTGCTTCCTAAAAAATTTTGAGGTTATGATTTTCCAAATCATAATTTTATTTCTAAAATTTTCTCAGGAAAATGTTTTGTGTGATCACCATTTGACGTGTTTTTTCCAAATGAGATATTGTAAGAAAATAAATTAATTATTTTTATATACATACTGGAATTACTGTGTATTTAAATTAAAGCTGTGTTATAAATGATGACAATTGCCAAATTGTGTTGGATAATGGTAGTGATAGATTATTTGCCTTATGTTGAATTAAATGAATTTTTATATTTTGTAAATTTTATTGGCTTTGTATTGACGCATTGTCGATAAATCATTGTATATCCTACAAATCTATAAAAAATATTTGGGGTCATAATGGCCTAACGGTTGAAGGTGCCTGGTCCTGTTTCACAGTGACGGAATTCGATTAAAAAAATGTGATCCCCGCCTATCGCATGCTTTGTTTGATGCGTCGTTTAGCACCTATTCATAAACGCCATTTGAATGGGGTTTGTATGATGTTGATACCTTTGAATGTTAGGGGAGCAGAGGCGCCAACTTTATCAAATTATTGGAGGGGCAAAATAATTTAAGAATACGTTTGCAAACTTTTCTATAATAATTTAGTTTGCGTACCATTCTTCAATAAATTTACAATTATACAAGGAACATTGTGTGAAATTATTAATTTAAAAATTTATCATCAAAACCGCAATTCGACAAAACGGCATAAAGATTGCAAAATTTTAAAATTTAATAAAACTACAAGAAATCTGAAAATTTGGAATCCTATAAACGCATATTGTTTATAAATCCAAAAAGCAAAATGTTACTTCTTTTTATTAATTTTATTCAAAATAGTATTTGTAAAAATTGAGTGTTTTTCTAAGAATCATACTTAAACATATTTACATATTAAAAGCAGTGATGACGTAAGTACTCAAAAAATGTACTTAAGTATAAGTACTCAGTGATAAAAGTACTTAAGTATAGGTTCTAAGTACCAAAGCAAATTATATACTTGGTGCTTATAAGTACTAAGTATAAGTACTAAGTACATAAGTACCTAAGTACATACCATGGTTAATTTGAAATATTTATAAATTTATTAAACTCAGAAATCAACTCATTATTTACAGTAATTTATTTACATCAATAAAAGAGTTTGTTCTTTTTGAGTAAAAGTAAAGTTTCAAATGGTTCATCACTTAAACAATTTCTTTTAGGAGTGAGAATCATTCCAGCCTGGCTAAATATACGTTCCACAGGTGCTGATGATGGCACAGTGGTATTGTACTTCAAAAACACTTGTGCAACAGCAGGATACCTAAGGAACAATAATATAGTTGTTAACCGAAATAGCAAATTATTAATTTGTTATTAATACTTGAGAATAAAAATGTATTAGAAAATCAAGCATATACATATTATACATATATAATATATTACAGAAAAATATTGATTACCTTTTGAGTTGTTCCATATCATATGAAGGATCACTAAGATATTGCAGTCCTTCAACTTTTTCATTCGATCGTGATTCGGAACTTGGTTCGTGGAATCCATAAAAATCTGCACTAGTACAACCTCTAGTATTTCTGTCTTCATAAACTGTTGAAGAATTGCTCATTCTGACCACTTCTGCTAGAAACAAGTCTTCAACTTGCTCACGAACTGATGATTCTATCCACCTGATTTTAAAAAACGGATGGCTGATCGAAGCCACAACAAATGCTCTCATCTTGCTGTTGCTTGAAATATCTTTAA